AACTACTCTTACAAACGAACGGCCTTGGAATGACATGACTAAAACACATAAACACAATGATTAAATGCTCATAGTGTCGAAAGTACTCTCTACTCCTAATCCACCTGTCCGTCCGTCCGTCCGTCCGTCCGTCCGTCCGCCCGTCAATCCATTCAGGTTCTGAAGAGTAAATAAGAGGTGTACAACATTTTGTAGAGATGTGTTGCAAAATATCTAGATCTATATTTGTTGACTAGAGGCTGGGCGATGTCTTTTATCAAAGTTGTACAGTGTAACCTCGTTAACTCGAACTCCTTAACTCGATATATTCATTGAACATGTATTTTAATGTATTATTAAATTTGTTTGTTTTTCTTTTCAGCACGGGAAGACATGATCCGGTATCATGTCACTCCTGCTGCGAGTTTATGGCCGTCGCTGGATGAGAAATCCGACTGTGTATGTAGTTTATCTACATCTGTTTCGGATTTGGCCGCCGAATAGATCACTTAAGAGCTTTTGTCGATGTCCCCCACGCACACTATTGACATTGCAGATTTTCTCTGTGTGTTATTGTGTCCTGAAAAATAACTGCATGATCCTCCAATTGCATGAATCAAACAGTCGATCAGAATTTCTGTCTTGTTGTAGCGCCTTACTGCATGTGTAACCTGTGTATCACACTGGCTTTCTTTTCCACATTGTTATTTGAAAACCGCCTATATACCTCGCCCACTGACCCTCCTTTCTCCCTCCCTCCCCACTCACTGATGTAGCGTCCCCAGGCTGCGTCCCCGACCCCCTCTCCCAACCCTCTGAGTGTTTTCACCCCCTTCTGGGCCCGCCCTGACCACGGTGAGACGCTCCCCGCCCCAGTCACCATCACCTACGTCGACCACTATCCCGCCCCTAGTGATGACGACAGTGACTACTGGGTCTACGAGGACGAGGATGACGACAGCTTCGTGGAGGACCGAGAGGTTCATCCTCTGAGGGAGGCGCTGAGGAGAGTGGCTGCCTTCTGGAGGAGAATCTTCTCGTAGATTTCTCATCCAGTGTGTGTGTGTGTGTGTGTGTGTGTATGAGTACAAGTGTAAATGTGTAAATGTGAGTGTGAGAGGATGTATTTTGCTTGTTTGACAGATAGTGTAGGTTGGTATGTGTGTTAGGATGTATTTTTGCATGTGTGATAGAGAGTGTATGTTTGAGATGGTGTTTTTGCATGTGTGGTTGAGTGTCAGTGTGTATGTGTGAAAGGATGTGTTTTTGCATGTGTGACAGAGAGTGTATGTGTGAGATGGTGTTTTTGCATGTGAGGTTGAGTGTCAGTGTGTATGTGTGAAAGGATGTGTTTTTGCATGTGTGATAGAGAGTGTATGTGTGAGATGATGTGTTTCTGCATGTGTTGTTGAGTGTCAGTGTGTATGTGTGAGAGGATGTGTTTTTGCATGTGTGACAGAGAGTGTATGTGTGAGAGGATGTGTTTTTGCATGTGTGACAAAAAGTGCAAGTTTGTGATGTTGGTGAGTGTGTGTTTTGAATGTGTTATTGGGTTTAAGTGTGTATGTATGAGAGTGTTCGTTTCACATGTGTGTTTTGGTGAGTGTAATCATATGTGTATATGGGAGTTGGATTGATTTGCATCTAGTATTGTGTGTAAGTGTGTATGTGTTGTGCATGTGTGTTTGATTTTAAGAGTACATGTGCGACAGGATGTGTCTCGCGTGTGTTTTGAGTATATGCATAAGAGGATGTGGTTTGTATGTGTGTTTGTGTAAAAGGATGTGGTTTGGTGCCCCTGTAATAAAGCATTTCTCCTTTTTGGACTGTTTTGGCTACATCCTTTTGGTTTATGTTTGGACACACTCTTTCGATCTTCTTTTCATTTTTTTAGGCTCACTTTTTGACTGACATTTCTAAGTTGATTCCGTTCTCTGATATAGGAGAATCGTTTTTGTGCTCACTTTTGGCCCTGCTTTAAATACTGTTTTTGGACACATACTATTCCATTTCTTAAATATATCTAAATAAAAATAGAATAATTGTATACACATGAGTCTGTTTTCCTTTCTTGGATCTAACAACGACTAGGTGACAGCAACACAACAGTAAAGGCAGGTGACCCGAGTCTGGTGTTAATATAATTTGAAGTTGTAATAGCGAGAATATTTATTATCAAGTTAAGATATTAAGGGGACATTTGCCCTGAACCGTTGTGTTGCTGTCTTCTAACCCAATTTACTAGAGGAATATCCCAATGAAAAGTCCGAACTCCATACGCATGGATAGCTGTTGTATAGTTTGGAAGCTGGTGTAGTAACGCTGGGTATTTTACGATCACTTTTTCACTTACTGGTGGGTACATGTATGGATGAAAGATAGAGTAATCTCCCTTCGCCTTCTGCCGATGTTTCTCCTATCATCGATTCTTCAGATATATCTACAGATATTAACTTTCGTTTAGGGGTAGCTGGTTGGAAAGTAAATGTAGCAGGTTTAGGCACACATGATCACGATAAAAATGGTGACAAAAATTGAAACGTAAGTTCCTTAGAAAACTAAGACTTAAAGGGCGACTGCGCTTCTGTGTCTGGTGCCAGTTTCAGTCCAGGTCTACACGTTGTAAATAACGCCTAATGGACACCTGGGTCAATCAGAGTACTCGTGAACTCTTAGATTTGTATAAATCATGAAATTGGAGTCAACAGACAAAGAAAGTTGTGTTTGAACGACTTGAGCCAAACTTACTAAAGTAGCCAATTTGCCCGGGGATAGTCGCCCTTTAAATATTTGAACTCGAAAATCGCATGGAACCCATATGACGGTGAAGGACACCATGAAGGAAAGGACTTTAAGATAAGCGTTTATATCTGGTATGGAGCCTGGGCCTTAGGCGCGATGAGCCGACGCCTTAGCCACTCAGCTACACCATCGCCCCCTTATGTCATCTATATGCGAGGCCCGTGAAGATCCGGTCTGGAATAGGCATTCAGCAACCCATGCTTGCTGTAAGAGGGATATATGCTTGTCGTAAGAGGCGAATACTTCATGCCGAGTGCGGTGTTGAACAACAAACAACAAACAACAACATCTATGTGAAATATGATACTTAAATAAATCATCATTACTGCTACATGAACGGCCACCTTCATACCGATGCACAAGTACATTCATCAAAGTGTTCATTTCTCCACCCACACTGATAAGATACACATTGTTTGTTTGTTTGTTGTTTAACGCCGCACTCAGCAATGTTCCAGCTGTATGACAGCGGTCTGTAAACAATCGTGTCTGAACCAAACAATCCAGTGATTGACATCATGAGCATCGATCCTCCTAACTGGGATACGATGACAAGCATCAACCAAACGAGCGAGCCTGACCACCCGATCCCGTTAGTCGACTCTTATGACAAGGATGGGATGGTGAATACCTATTCTAACCCGGATCTTCACGGGTTGCCTTGACACGTGGATGAGCTGGGATGTATATGCTTTCTGACTTGTACATATTATATGTGTGTGTGTGATGTAATGATGTATATATATGTTCTCTGCACGTGGCACTGTGTGTATTGTTTTAGAATAAAGTTCTGTTCTGTTCTGATATATAGCTTGCGTTATACTGTAGGGCCGTCGTTAATTTCTTACTCACATCATATACACTATTAACAAGCTAACACACTGAATGAACAAGCAGCCAAGACGGCTTTTATCTTCCATGTATGTGAGGGGAATGGGCTTCTTTTCTACCAATGAACAAAGGGAGACCACCCATGTCAGACTATTTCTTTGAGTGTATCAGTGGCGATGCTTGCATGGGATTTCCCAGGCGACTTGCTCAGCCCGTCGTTCCGCGGCAATAAAGTGCGGACGTCCCGCCAACCTTAAACACACATCGCGCATTACACACCAGCAAACAGTCCCCAGTTAAGTCGAACGGTCTTTACCAGCAAACATTTTCATAATTAAGCCAGAGAATGCTCAGGGACAAAACAAACTGAACCTGCCCTTCTTATTATCAACGACGGTAACCACGGCAACGGCCACCACAACTTTATCTGCTTCCCCTTTTTAAGTCTTTGGCTCCCATAGACATGCAGCCGTAGAGGTTTAGCTATGCCGGAAATGGACGATGACGCCTCGTTCTGACTTCGTCTCGGTAACGTAGTTACCGTTGTCGTGGCCAACGTCCCTTCTGTTTTGAACAGATTCACTATCGCTCTTGCTCCCTATCGCTCTGCATTTCGTTGACTACAGCATCGTTTCAAGATCTTCTACTGACAAGATGTTTACAAGGCTGCATATTCAAGGTATTTAAGAATGCAATTATTGTATTTTAAAGTGTTTAGAACGTTGGTAAGTACTGAAATTGGCCGTAGTTTGATAGCAGTACCGATGGTGATGACACTGGCCGCCATTTGCAATTGATTTGATTCAGAAATGGGTGTCTTCTAAATCTCTTGTCTGCTCTGAAATGAGAGCGGTCCGGATAAAGATATATGACGGACGATGTTATTCAAACATTATAGATCAAATGTGTGACATTGTATAACTTTGATATCTATTTAAACGTAAACTACTCTTACAAACGAACGGCCTTGGAATGACATGACTAAAACACATAAACACAATGATTAAATGCTCATAGTGTCGAAAGTACTCTCTACTCCTAATCCACCTGTCCGTCCGTCCGTCCGTCCGTCCGTCCGTCCGCCCGTCAATCCATTCAGGTTCTGAAGAGTAAATAAGAGGTGTACAACATTTTGTAGAGATGTGTTGCAAAATATCTAGATCTATATTTGTTGACTAGAGGCTGGGCGATGTCTTTTATCAAAGTTGTACAGTGTAACCTCGTTAACTCGAACTCCTTAACTCGATATATTCATTGAACATGTATTTTAATGTATTATTAAATTTGTTTGTTTTTCTTTTCAGCACGGGAAGACATGATCCGGTATCATGTCACTCCTGCTGCGAGTTTATGGCCGTCGCTGGATGAGAAATCCGACTGTGTATGTAGTTTATCTACATCTGTTTCGGATTTGGCCGCCGAATAGATCACTTAAGTGCTTTTGTCGATGTCCCCCACGCACACTATTGACATTGCAGATTTTCTCTGTGTGTTATTGTGTCCTGAAAAATAACTGCATGATCCTCCAATTGCATGAATCAAACAGTCGATCAGAATTTCTGTCTTGTTGTAGCGCCTTACTGCATGTGTAACCTGTGTATCACACTGGCTTTCTTTTCCACATTGTTATTTGAAAACCGCCTATATACCTCGCCCACTGACCCTCCTTTCTCCCTCCCTCCCCACTCACTGATGTAGCGTCCCCAGGCTGCGTCCCCGACCCCCTCTCCCAACCCTCTGAGTGTTTTCATCCCCTTCTGGGCCCGCCCTGACCACGGTGAGACGCTCCCCGCCCCAGTCACCATCACCTACGTCGACCACTATCCCGTCCCTAGTGATGACGACAGTGACTACTGGGTCTACGAGGACGAGGATGACGACAGCTTCGTGGAGGACCGAGAGGTTCATCCTCTGAGGGAGGCGCTGAGGAGAGTGGCTGCCTTCTGGAGGAGAATCTTCTCGTAGATTTCTCATCCAGTGTGTGTGTGTGTGTGTGTGTGTGTATGAGTACAAGTGTAAATGTGTAAATGTGAGTGTGAGAGGATGTATTTTGCTTGTTTGACAGATAGTGTAGGTTGGTATGTGTGTTAGGATGTATTTTTGCATGTGTGATAGAGAGTGTATGTTTGAGATGGTGTTTTTGCATGTGTGGTTGAGTGTCAGTGTGTATGTGTGAAAGGATGTGTTTTTGCATGTGTGACAGAGAGTGTATGTGTGAGATGGTGTTTTTGCATGTGAGGTTGAGTGTCAGTGTGTATGTGTGAAAGGATGTGTTTTTGCATGTGTGATAGAGAGTGTATGTGTGAGATGATGTGTTTCTGCATGTGTTGTTGAGTGTCAGTGTGTATGTGTGAGAGGATGTGTTTTTGCATGTGTGACAGAGAGTGTATGTGTGAGAGGATGTGTTTTTGCATGTGTGACAAAAAGTGCAAGTTTGTGATGTTGGTGAGTGTGTGTTTTGAATGTGTTATTGGGTTTAAGTGTGTATGTATGAGAGTGTTCGTTTCACATGCGTGTTTTGGTGAGTGTAATCATATGTGTATATGGGAGTTGGATTGATTTGCATCTAGTATTGTGTGTAAGTGTGTATGTGTTGTGCATGTGTGTTTGATTTTAAGAGTACATGTGCGACAGGATGTGTCTCGCGTGTGTTTTGAGTATATGCATAAGAGGATGTGGTTTGTATGTGTGTTTGTGTAAAAGGATGTGGTTTGGTGCCCCTGTAATAAAGCATTTCTCCTTTTTGGACTGTTTTGGCTACATCCTTTTGGTTTATGTTTGGACACACTCTTTCGATCTTCTTTTCATTTTTTTAGGCTCACTTTTTGACTGACATTTCTAAGTTGATTCCGTTCTCTGATATAGGAGAATCGTTTTTGTGCTCACTTTTGGCCCTGCTTTAAATACTGTTTTTGGACACATACTATTCCATTTCTTAAATATATCTAAATAAAAATAGAATAATTGTATACACATGAGTCTGTTTTCCTTTCTTGGATCTAACAACGACTAGGTGACAGCAACACAACAGTAAAGGCAGGTGACCCGAGTCTGGTGTTAATATAATTTGAAGTTGTAATAGCGAGAATATTTATTATCAAGTTAAGATATTAAGGGGACATTTGCCCTGAACCGTTGTGTTGCTGTCTTCTAACCCAATTTACTAGAGGAATATCCCAATGAAAAGTCCGAACTCCATACGCATGGATAGCTGTTGTATAGTTTGGAAGCTGGTGTAGTAACGCTGGGTATTTTACGATCACTTTTTCACTTACTGGTGGGTACATGTATGGATGAAAGATAGAGTAATCTCCCTTCGCCTTCTGCCGATGTTTCTCCTATCATCGATTCTTCAGATATATCTACAGATATTAACTTTCGTTTAGGGGTAGCTGGTTGGAAAGTAAATGTAGCAGGTTTAGGCACACATGATCACGATAAAAATGGTGACAAAAATTGAAACGTAAGTTCCTTAGAAAACTAAGACTTAAAGGGCGACTGCGCTTCTGTGTCTGGTGCCAGTTTCAGTCCAGGTCTACACGTTGTAAATAACGCCTAATGGACACCTGGGTCAATCAGAGTACTCGTGAACTCTTAGATTTGTATAAATCATGAAATTGGAGTCAACAGACAAAGAAAGTTGTGTTTGAACGACTTGAGCCAAACTTACTAAAGTAGCCAATTTGCCCGGGGATAGTCGCCCTTTAAATATTTGAACTCGAAAATCGCATGGAACCCATATGACGGTGAAGGACACCATGAAGGAAAGGACTTTAAGATAAGCGTTTATATCTGGTATGGAGCCTGGGCCTTAGGCGCGATGAGCCGACGCCTTAGCCACTCAGCTACACCATCGCCCCCTTATGTCATCTATATGCGAGGCCCGTGAAGATCCGGTCTGGAATAGGCATTCAGCAACCCATGCTTGCTGTAAGAGGGATATATGCTTGTCGTAAGAGGCGAATACTTCATGCCGAGTGCGGTGTTGAACAACAAACAACAAACAACAACATCTATGTGAAATATGATACTTAAATAAATCATCATTACTGCTACATGAACGGCCACCTTCATACCGATGCACAAGTACATTCATCAAAGTGTTCATTTCTCCACCCACACTGATAAGATACACATTGTTTGTTTGTTTGTTGTTTAACGCCGCACTCAGCAATGTTCCAGCTGTATGACAGCGGTCTGTAAACAATCGTGTCTGAACCAAACAATCCAGTGATTGACATCATGAGCATCGATCCTCCTAACTGGGATACGATGACAAGCATCAACCAAACGAGCGAGCCTGACCACCCGATCCCGTTAGTCGACTCTTATGACAAGGATGGGATGGTGAATACCTATTCTAACCCGGATCTTCACGGGTTGCCTTGACACGTGGATGAGCAGGGATGTATATGCTTTCTGACTTGTACATATTATATGTGTGTGTGTGATGTAATGATGTATATATATGTTCTCTGCACGTGGCACTGTGTGTATTGTTTTAGAATAAAGTTCTGTTCTGTTCTGATATATAGCTTGCGTTATACTGTAGGGCCGTCGTTAATTTCTTACTCACATCATATACACTATTAACAAGCTAACACACTGAATGAACAAGCAGCCAAGACGGCTTTTATCTTCCATGTATGTGAGGGGAATGGGCTTCTTTTCTACCAATGAACAAAGGGAGACCACCCATGTCAGACTATTTCTTTGAGTGTATCAGTGGCGATGCTTGCATGGGATTTCCCAGGCGACTTGCTCAGCCCGTCGTTCCGCGGCAATAAAGTGCGGACGTCCCGCCAACCTTAAACACACATCGCGCATTACACACCAGCAAACAGTCCCCAGTTAAGTCGAACGGTCTTTACCAGCAAACATTTTCATAATTAAGCCAGAGAATGCTCAGGGACAAAACAAACTGAACCTGCCCTTCTTATTATCAACGACGGTAACCACGGCAACGGTCACCACAACTTTATCTGCTTCCCCTTTTAAAGTCTTTGGCTCCCATAGACATGCAGCCGTAGAGGTTTAGCTATGCCGGAAATGGACGATGACGCCTCGTTCTGACTTCGTCTCGGTAACGTAGTTACCGTTGTCGTGGCCAACGTCCCTTCTGTTTTGAACAGATTCACTATCGCTCTTGCTCCCTATCGCTCTGCATTTCGTTGACTACAGCATCGTTTCAAGATCTTCTACTGACAAGATGTTTACAAGGCTGCATATTCAAGGTATTTAAGAATGCAATTATTGTATTTTAAAGTGTTTAGAACGTAGATAAGTACTGAAATTGGCCGTAGTTTGACAGCAGTACCGATGGTGATGACACTGGCCGCCATTTGCAATTGATTTGATTCAGAAATGGGTGTCTTCTAAATCTCTTGTCTGCTCTGAAATGAGAGCGGTCCGGATAAAGCTATATGACGGACGATGTTATTCAAACATTATAGATCAAATGTGTGACATTGTATAACTTTGATATCTATTTAAACGTAAACTACTCTTTCAAACGAACGGGCTTGGAATGACATGACTAAAACACATAAACACAATGATGAAATGCTCATAGTGTCGATAGTACTCTCTACTCCTAATCCACCTGTCTGTCCATCAGTCCGTCCGTCCGATCGTCCGTCCGTCCGTCAATCCATTCAGGTTCTGAAGAGTAAATAAGAGCTGTACAACTTTTCGTAGAGATGTGTTGCAAAATATCTAGATCTATATTTGTTGACTAGAGGGTGGGCGATGTCTTTTATCAAAGTTGTACAGTGTAACCTCGTTAACTCGAACTCCTTAACTCGATATATTCATTGAACATGTATTTTAATGTATTATTAAATTTGTTTATTTTTCTTTTCAGCACGGGAAGACATGATCCGGTATCATGTCACTCCTGCTGCGAGTTTATGGCCGTCGCTGGATGAGAAATCCGACTGTGTATGTAGTTTATCTACATCTGTTTCGGATTTGGCCGCCGAATAGATCACTTAAGTGCTTTTGTCGATGTCCCCCACGCACACTATTGCCATTGCAGATTTTCTCTGTGTGTTATTGTGTCCTGAAAAATAACTGCATGATCCACCTCCTCCAATTGCATGATTCAAACAGTCGATCAGAATTTCTGTCTTGTTGTAGCGCCTTATTGCATGTGTAACCTGTGTATCACACTGACTTTCTTTTCCACATTGTTATTTGAAAACCTCCTATATACCTCGCCCACTGACCCTCCTTTCTCCCTCCCTCCCCACTCACTGATGTAGCGTCCCCAGGCTGCGTCCCCGACCCCCTCTCCCAACCCTCTGAGTGTTTTCACCCCCTTCTGGGCCCGCCCTGACCACGGTGAGACGCTCCCCGCCCCAGTCACCATCACCTACGTCGACCACTATCCTGCCCCTAGTGATGACGACAGTGACTACTGGGTCTACGAGGACGAGGATGACGACAGCTTCGTGGAGGACCGAGAGGTTCATCCTCTGAGGGAGGCGCTGAGGAGAGTGGCTGCCTTCTGGAGGAGAATCTTCTCGTAGATTTCTCATCCAGTGTGTGTGTGTGTGTGTGTGTGTGTATGAGTACAAGTGTAAATGTGTAAATGTGAGTGTGAGAGGATGTATTTTGCTTGTTTGACAGATAGTGTAGGTTTGTATGTGTGTTAGGATGTATTTTTGCATGTGTGATAGAGAGTGTATGTGTGAGATGGTGTGTTTTTGCATGTGTGGTTGAGTGTCAGTGTGTATGTGTGATAGGGTGTGTTTTTGCATGTGTGATAGAGAGTGTATGTGTGAGATGATGTGTTTCTGCATGTGTGACAGAGAGTGTATGTGTGAGAGGATGTGTTTTTGCATGTGTGATAGAGAGTGTATGTGTGAGATGATGTGTTTCTGCATGTGTGACAGAGAGTGTATGTGTGAGAGGATGTGTTTTTGCATGTGTGATAGAGAGTGTATGTGTGAGATGATGTGTTTTTGCATGTGTGATAGAGAGTGTATGTGTGAGAGGATGTGTTTTTGCATGTGTAATAGAGAGTGTATGTGTGAGATGATGTGTTTCTGCATGTGTGACAGAGAGTGTATGTGTGAGAGGATGTGTTTTTGCATGTGTGACAGAGAGTGTATGTGTGAGAGGATGTGTTTTTGCATGTGTGACAGAGAGTGTATGTGTGAGAGGATGTGTTTTTGCATGTGTGACAGAGAGTGTATGTGTGAGAGGATGTGTTTTTGCATGTGTGATAGAGAGTGTATGTGTGAGATGATGTGTTTTTGCATGTGTGATAGAGAGTGTATGTGTGAGATGATGTGTTTCTGCATGTGTGACAGAGAGTGTATGTGTGAGATGATGTGTTTCTGCATGTGTGACAGAGAGTGTATGTGTGAGAGGATGTGTTTTTGCATGTGTGACAGAGAGTGTATGTGTGAGAGGATGTGTTTTTGCATGTGTAATAGAGAGTGTATGTGTGAGATGATGTGTTTCTGCATGTGTGACAGAGAGTGTATGTGTGAGAGGATGTGTTTTTGCATGTGTGACAGAGAGTGTATGTGTGAGAGGATGTGTTTTTGCATGTGTGACAGAGAGTGTATGTGTGAGAGGATGTGTTTTTGCATGTGTGACAAAAAGTGCAAGTTTGTGATGTGGATGAATGTGTGTTTTGAATGTATGATTGGGTTTAAGTGTGTATTTATGAGAGTGTTCGTTTCACATGTGTTTTTGGGTGAGTGTAATCACATGTGTATATGGGAGTTGGAGTGATTTGCATCTAGTATTGTGTGTAAGTGTGTATGTGTTGTGCATGTGTGTTTGATTTTAAGAGTACATGTGCGACAGGATGTGTCTCGCGTGTGTTTTGAGTATATGCATAAGAGGATGTGGTTTGAATGTGTGTTTGTGTGAGAGGATGTGGTTTGGTGCCCCTGTAATAAAGCATTTCTCCTTTTTGGACTGTTTTGGCTACACCCTTTTGGTTTATGTTTGGGCACAATCTTTCGATCGTCTTTTCATTTTTTTAGGCTCACTCTTTGACTGACATTTCTAAGTTGATTCCGTTCTCTGATATAGGAGAATCGTTTTTGTGCTCACTTTTGGCCCTGCTTTAAATACTTTTTTTGGACACATACTATTCCATATCTTAAATATATCTAAAAATAAAAATAGAATAATTGTATACACATGAGTCTGTTTTCCTTCCTTGGATCTAACAACGACTAGGCGACAGCAACACAGCAGTAAAGGCAGGTGACCCGAGTCTGGTGTTAATATAATTTGAAGTTGTAATAGCGAGAATATTTATTATCAAGTTAAGATATTAAGGGGGCATTTGCCCTGAACCGTTGTGTTGCTGTCTTCTAGCCCAATTTACTAGAGGAATATCCAATGAAAAGTCCGAACTCCATACGCATGGATAGCTGTTGTATGGCTTGGAAGCTGGTGTAGTAACGCTGGGTATTTTACGATCACTTTTTCACTTACTGGTGGGTACATGTATGGATGAAAGATAGAGTTATCTCCCTTCGCCTTCTGCCGATGTTTCTCCTATCATCGATTCTTCAGATATATCTACAGATATTAGCTTTCGTTTAGGGGTAGCAGGTTGGAAAGTAAATGTAGCAGGTTTAGGCACACATGATCACGATAAAAATGGTGACAAAAATTGAAACGTAAGTTCCTTAGAAAACTAAGACTTAAAGGGTGACTGCGCTTCTGTGTCTGGTGCCAGTTTCAGTCCAGGTCTACACGTTGTAAATAATGCCTAATGGACACCTGGGTCAATCAGAGTACTCGTCAACTCTTAGATTGATATAAATCATGAAATTGGAGTCAATAGACAAAGAATGTTGTGTTTGAACGACTTGAGCCAAACTTACTAAAGCAGCCAATTTGCCCGGGGATAGTCGCCCTTTAAATATTTGAACTCGAAAATCGCATGGAACCCATATGACGGTGAAGGACACCATGAAGGAAAGGACTTTAAGATAAGCGTTTATATCTGGTATGGAACCTGGGCCTTAGGCCCGATGAGCCAACGCCTTAGCCACTCAGCTACATCCTCGCCCCCTTATGTCATCTATATGTGAGGCCCGTGAAGATCCGGGCTGGAATAGGCATTCAGCAACCCATGCTTGCTGTAAGAGGGATATATGCTTGTCGTAAGAGGTGAATACTGCATGCCGAGTGCGGTGTTGAACAACAAACAACAAACAACAACATCTATGTGACATATGATACTTAAATATATCATCATTACTGCTACATGAACGGCCGCCTTCATACCGATGCACAAGTACATTCATCAAAGTGTTCATTTCTCCACCCACACTGATAAGATACACATTGTTTGTTTGTTTGTTGTTTAACGCCGCACTCAGCAATGTTCCAGCTGTATGACAGCGGTCTGTAAACAATCGTGTCTGAACCAAACAATCCAGTGATTGACATCATGAGCATCGATCCTCCCAACTGGGATACGGTGACAAGCATCAACCAAATCAGCGAGCCTGACCACCCGATCCCGTTAGTCGACTCTTATGACAAGGATGGGATGGTGAATACCTATTCTAACCCGGATCTTCACGGGTTGCCTTGACACGTGGATGAGCTGGGATGTATATGCTTTCTGACTTGTACATATTATATGTGTGTGTGTGTGATGTAATGATGTATATATATGTTCTCTGCACGTGGCACTGTGTGCATTGTTTTAGAATAAAGTTCTGTTCTGTTCTGATATATAGCTTGCGTTATACTGTAGGGCCGTCGTTAATTTCCCTCTCACATCATGTACACTATAAACAAGCAAACACACTGAATGAACAAGCAGCCAAGACGGCTTTTATCTTCCATGTATGTGAGGGGAATGGGCTTCTTTTCTACCAATGAACAAGGGGAGACCACCCATGTCAGACTATTTCTTTGAGTGTATCAGTGGCGATGCTTGCTTGGGATTTCCCAGGCGACTTGCTCAGCCCGTCGTTCCGCGGCAATAAAGTGCGGACGTCCCGCCAACCTTAAACACACATCGCGCATTACACACCAGCAAACAGTCCCCAGTTAAGTCGAACGGTCTTTACCAGCAAACATTTTCATAATTAAGCCAGAGAATGCTCAGGGACAAAACAAACTGAACCTGCCCTTCTTATTATCAACGACGGTAACCACGGCAACGGCCACCACAACTTTATCTGCTTCCCCTTTTAAAGTCTTTGGCTCCCATAGACATGCAGCCGTAGAGGTGTAGCTATGCCGGAAATGGACGATGACGCCTCGTTCTGACTTCGTCTCGGTAACGTAGTTACCGTTGTCGTGGCCAACGTCCCTTCTGTTTTGAACAGATTCACTATCGCTCTTGCTCCCTATCGCTCTGCATTTCGTTGACTACAGCATCGTTTCAAGATCTTCTACTGACAAGATGTTTACAAGGCTGCATATTCAAGGTATTTAAGAATGCAATTATTGTATTTTAAAGTGTTTAGAACGTAGATAAGTACTGAAATTGGCCGTAGTTTGACAGCAGTACCGATGGTGATGACACTGGCCGCCATTTGCAATTGATTTGATTCAGAAATGGGTGTCTTCTAAATCTCTTGTCTGCTCTGAAATGAGAGCGGTCCGGATAAAGATATATGACGGACGATGTTATTCAAACATTATAGATCAAATGTGTGACATTGTATAACTTTGATATCTATTTAAACGTAAACTACTCTTTCAAACGAACGGGCTTGGAATGACATGACTAAAGCACATAAACACAATGATGAAATGCTCATAGTGTCGATAGTACTCTCTACTCCTAATCCACCTGTCTGTCCATCAGTCCGTCCGTCCGATCGTCCGTCCGTCCGTCAATCCATTCAGGTTCTGAAGAGTAAATAAGAGCTGTACAAGTTTTTGTAGAGATGTGTTGCAAAATATCTAGATCTTTATTTGTTGACTAGAGTCTGGGCGATGTCTTCTTTCAAAGTTGTACAGTGTAACCTCGTTAACTCGAACTCCTTAACTCGATATATTCATTGAACATGTATTTTAATGGATTATTAAATTTGTTTATTTTTCTTTTCAGCACGTGAAGACATGATCCGGTATCATGTCACTCCTGCTGCGAGTTTATGGCCGTCGCTGGATGAGGAATCCGACTGTGTATGTAGTTTATCTACATCTGTTTCGGATTTGGCCGCCGAATAGATCACTTAAGTGCTTTTGTCGATGTCCCCCACGCACACTATTGCCATTGCAGATTTTCTCTGTGTGTTATTGTGTCCTGAAAAATAACTGCATGATCCCCCTCCTCTAATTGCATGATTCAAACAGTCGATCAGAATTTCTGTCTTGTTGTAGCGCCTTATTGCATGTGTAATCTGTGTATCACACTGACTTTCTTTTCCACATTGTTATTTGAAAACCTCCCGTATACCTCGCCCACTGACCCTCCTTTCTCCCTCCCTCCCCACTCACTGATGTAGCGTCCCCAGGCTGCGTCCCCGACCCCCTCTCCCAACCCTCTGAGTGTTTTCACCCCCTTCTGGGCCCGCCCTGATCACGGTGAGACGCCCCCCGCCCCAGTCACCATCACCTACGTCGACCACTATCCTGCCCCTAGTGATGACGACAGTGACTACTGGGTCTACGAGGACGAGGATGACGACAGCTTCGTGGAGGACCGAGAGGTTCATCCTCTGAGGAAGGCGCTGAGGAGAGTGGCTGCCTTCTGGAGGAGAATCTTCTCGTAGATTTCTCATCCAGTGTGTGTGTGTGTGTATGAGTACAAGTGTAAATGTGTAAATGTGAGTGTGAGAGGATGTATTTTGCTTGTTTGATAGATAGTGTAGGTGTGTATGTGTGTTAGGATGTATTTTTGCATGTGTGATAGAGAGTGTATGTGTGAGATGGTGTGTTTTTGCATGTGTGGTTGAGTGTCAGTGTGTATGTGTGAAAGGGTGTGTTTTTGCATGTGTGATAGAGAGTGTATGTGTGAGATGATGTGTTTTTGCATGTGTGACAGAGAGTGTATGTGTGAGAGGATGTGTTTTTGCATGTGTGACAGAGAGTGTATGTGTGAGAGGATGTGTTTTTGCATGTGTGACAAAATGTGCAAGTTTGTGATGTGGGTGAATGTGTGTTTTGAATGTGTGATTGGGTTTAAGTGTGTATGTATGAGAGTGTTCGTTTCACATGTGTGTTTGGGTGAGTGTAATCACATGTGTATATGGGAGTTGGAGTGATTTGCATCTAGTATTGTGTGTAAGTGTGTATGTGTTGTGCATGTGTGTTTGATTTTAAGAGTACATGTGCGACAGGATGTGTCTCGCGTGTGTTTTGAGTATATGCATAAGAGGATGTGGTTTGAATGTGTGTTTGTGTGAGAGGATGCGGTTTGGTGCCCCTGTAATAAAGCATTTCTCCTTTTTGGACTGTTTTGGCTACACCCTTTTGGTTGGAAGCTGGTGTAGTAACGCTGGGTATTTTACGATCACTTTTTCACTTACTGGTGGGTACATGTATGGATGAAAGATAGAGTTAACTCCCTTCGCCTTCTGCCGATGTTTCTCCTATCATCGATTCTTCAGATATATCTACAGATATTAGCTTTCGTTTAGGGTAGCTGGTTGGAAAGTAAATGTAGCAGGTTTAGGCACACATGATCACGATAAAAATGGTGACAAAAATTGAAACGTAAGTTCCTTATAAAACTAAGACTTAAAGGGCGACTGCGCTTCTGTGTCTGGTGCCAGTTTCAGTCCAGGTCTACACGTTGTAAATAATGCCTAATGGACACCTGGGTCAATCAGAGTATTCGAGTAAACTTACTTAAACAATAATATGCCACCACGGCCATTTAAAAAAACCCTCAATGTTATATGTATAACAATGTATGGGGTTTAATGAATTAAAAGTGCACCAAATGGTTGAATGTGTGACAATAGTGCTATGAATAAATTGCTATGAATGTGGGAAAATGGATAGGTCCTGGGTATTGGTGAACCAAATCTGCGTTCGAGTCAGCAAGATAAAGTACAAATGCTCCAAAACGGGTACGAACCTGATGTGAATTTTAGGTACGGGTTAACCATTTTCAGTGGGTACGAATCTCTCTGGCTATGGATCATCTACCGTATTTTCTTGAGTATAGTGCGCACCCATGTATAATGCGCACCCACCTCTAGCGGATTCAGTATTTTGGAGAAAAAAAAGAATTCGCTTATCAAGCGCAGAAAAACATTACACCTTACCCCTTCAGCGAAGTCCGGTAAACGAACGGGCAATGAAAAACTTGGTCAGTACAAATTCGAAATTTGAGATAAAAAAATCACCAGACATGTTGATTTACCGTTTAAATTGTATTTTTTGTTCTGCTAGGCATTGTTTTCCATCCAGGGATTAAGGTTACCTTGTATATTTTCTCGTAAACAAAGCCGGAAACAGCAATCAGCTGTACACACGTTTTCTTGGAATCTACCGGTGATTCGGTCAAGACACACCCAATGATATAACTTTACAGAATTTTAATGCAAGGTAGTATCCAAATCTCGTGGAATCACACTGTCATTGCAGGCATCACCTTCAAGCATGACTTCGGCCAGCACATCCTCAAGAACCCTCTGGTTGTTGTCAGCATGGTGGAGAAGGTCAGTCTACATAGGACATTACTCTTGTTCTCAACACTCAAAGAAATGGTTACTGCCTAGCGACCAGTTGACACTGGGGACCAGTTATCGCCAACTCCCTGTTATAGCACTTGGGCTAGGACGTGTAACTCGGGTACTCGGGTTGGGTGGGTACTGACAAGGACCCGGGTACCTACAGAACTACCCGGTCATGTGATATATATTGTTTAATGACAAAAATGATCTTGTACTATATGGTTACACTAAAAGTCACTAATGTTTGCATTTCTTTCTGACTATGCACCCAGACTTTTATATGTTTGAATAAAGATAAAACTTCAGTCAACGTCAGTGTATGCATGACCAGATCGATTTATACGTGGATCTCAATACATTTTGTCCAGGGCTACAGTCAAACTTTTCCCAATCGGACATTTTGTACCTATCTCTTGAGACCAACAGTGGGTACCTGGGTAGGGTCGGGAAATAGGTGGGTGGGTACCCCTGTAGTAAATTTGGACTCGTCCCAGCCCTGTATAGCATGTACATGATTGCATCTTGTTAAAAATATTTATCCAAAGATGATAAACAAAACTGACTCTTGTCAGGAAATATTAAAAAACACCATAAAATCACCTTGCTAAAATACAACTTTAGAAAAGACATGTGGACGATGTCATGTGACTCATTCACGTGTAAACTACAATCAAACAACACGATGATGCACTTTCAGTTGTGTCATTGCTTACCATCTGTCTGTCTTTCTTTCCCAAAATACAATTCTGAAACCTAATTAAGCTATTTCCCCAAAATGCGTAGCCAGTACATATCGCGAAATCCCTAGTACATAGTGTTAAGGATAAGCTTGTGTAAATCAAATTTGGGGAATATTGGTTCACGTCAATTTGCAAACAACTAATGGATACAGGCATATCTTATGAATATAAAAATTGAGTGCGAAACTAAAGAAAATAAAAAATGTAATTTGTATAACTGAAGCAGTGAGCGTAGTCAGGTGGCACCTGCTTTTTAGACAATGGCGATAACTGGTACAGTTGGTTGATGGAAATCTTCTATGTTCTCTGTTTTGATTCGCAATCCAACATTGTCATTTATGTTGGACTAGAGTTAACAATGTTAAAAAAAACAGACGCAAAGATATATATCTAAGGAAACTTCACAGAGAATAAGTCAATAATTTACAAGTTGGTTGATGGAAGAAAGTGCGTGGCAGCTGATTGTTAAAGTCCCTGTGATGTTGCAGGCTGCGCTGCGGCCGACAGATGTGGTCCTGGAGGTCGGCCCCGGTACGGGCAACATGACGGTCAAGCTGCTGGAGAAGGTCAAGAAGGTCAGTCTGGACCAGCGGTCAATCATTCAAACTTTCTATGGTTGGGTTTAATATGATCTAAGATACTGGACCAGTACTTGACTGGAGTAAAGGTATACTTTGAACAAAAAGAAAATTATGAATACCCAATGAGTGAAAGAGAATGATTACATAGGAGTAAATACTCACTGAGAGTATTATCTAGAGCACTGGCGTCGGCTACTTGTGAGTGCTGCTTATTACTTAGTAGCAACACTTTCTCTTTTCTGCCAACTACATAATGGCCTGGCTTGCTGGAAGATCTTACAGTCATAACAATGTCAAATGTTTCAGGTGGGAGATATAGTGTCACATGTTTCAGGTGGTGGTTAACGATGTCACATGTTTCAGGTTGTAGATACCAATGTCACATGTTTCAAGTGGTGGTTAACATTGTCTCATGTTTCAGGTTGTGGCCTGTGAGATTGACCCCCGTCTGGTGGCGCAGCTGCACAAGAGAGTTCAAGGAACGTGAGTGCACCTCCTCTTAGATGTTGGGTCTTGTATTTATGGAGTTATTTCAGACAATGATAGGAGGTGTTGGAGGGTAAATATGCTTAGGTTTGAGTCTTATCAAGAGGTTCGATAAAAAAACAACCCAAGTTCAAATCAATGATAAAAAGAATGTTTTCAATGCTGTTTTTTTAGGAATAGCCCTATAGTCTGTATGTATATCACACTACACAAATGAATGCATGTTGTTTTCCGTCTCAGCCCCCAGGCCACCAAGCTGCAGGTAATGGTAGGGGACGTCCTCAAGACAGAGCTGCCCTCGGATTCATTGTTCTGTCATAACATAGTAAGTACTGGCTTGTTGTTGCACTGCTCAGTGCTCAGATTCCACAACGGAAGTGTATTCTATTGATGTTGGACGTTCTATTTATTTTTCGTTTTCGTGATACATCTTAATGTGTCAAAAGGTGTTCATGATAGCGACTTGTCCATGTTTATTTCTAGGCAATACCTGCAGATTTTGACATCAAGGAAAAAGTAGTGAAGATTCTTGAAGAGACCAGCTTTGATAAGAAGCGAGCCCGCACGATGGATATTGATGACTTCCTGGCGTCTGATCCCCTCCTCCCATACTTCCTCCTGTAGTCTCTACCTAACATTATCCAACTAGTGAGGGGTTGTCCGGTAGCCTAGTGGTTAAAGCGTTCGCTCATCACGCCAAAGACCCGGGTTCAATTCCAAAAATGGGTACTTGTGTGAAGCCTATTTCTGGTGTTCCCCGCCATGATGTTGCTGGAATATTGCTAAAACAAAACTCAATCACTACTGATTAGTGTTTGGTGTAACAGCCATTAAAGTAAACATTAATGGTATGAATCAATATTTTGTACTTAGTGTGCGACTAAGATCGATACTTGCATCAGGAAGTAAAATATAGGATCCACCGATGCGTCCCACCACTAGTAATAATTGTATAGCACTATGAGCATGTTTTAGGGCAAGTGAACACCTAAATTTAAATATGCATTTAGTAGTAGTAGTAGTAGTAGTAGTAGTAGTAGTAGTGATAATGTTATATGCATATTTAAATTGAGCAATTATTAATATCATGATTATCATGATTATTCATCTTCTTTCCAGGCTGTTGAACAGTTTCAACAAGGACGGCTTCCATTTCTCCTGATGCAAGATGTGGTTCCAGTATTGTCTGATGCAGTGTGGGAACTTTCGATGGACAACAGGCAGTGGGCTCTTCATGGACAGTGAAGCTTCATTTGTTTGTTTCTGTGAACACTGAACACTGTGACATCTCCGTAAAAGACGACTATGCTTGTCGTAAGAGGCGACTAACAGGATTGGATGGTCAGACTCGCTGACTTGGTTGATGCATGTCATCCATCCCAATTGCGTGGATCAATGCTCATGATATTAATCACTGGATTGTCTATCAATCACTGGATTGGCTAGTACAGACTCGATAATTTACAGACCTCTGCATATGGCTGGAATATTGCTGAGTGCGGCGTAAACAACAAACCAACTGTGACATCTGAATGCATGAATGCCAGTTGTACAGTACACATCGTCATGAGCTGGAACACTCTGAAGTCTGTCATGAAGCTTGTGTCAAGGAATCACAGACACTGAATATCGTGGAACACTATTGACTGCCAAGAGTGGTGGCTGTCAGTCTGACCAGATGACAGGTATTACATTAGTGCCAATACCTTGCGATACCTTGAGGTACATTGTGTGTACTGTATCGTGACCTATATCAGCAGCATGTCATATGGTATGCAATTGAATTGCATACTATTTGCTGACAGTGTGTATGTATGTGTGTGCAGGAGTTCTCAAGCCACTGTATATTTTAAAAGTTTTCACAACATGATGGGTGACGAGTGACGACAAGAATCGTTAAAAGAAAGACACGAAGCCTGTATCTCGATTCTATAAACACTTGTTTATTTGGTCAGTGCCAGAAAATAAATATGTATGTACATTTGGGTGTTCTCTGTCGAGACCGATGTGTGTGGCATGGTGGTTCAAACACACCCATCTTGCAGACACTTGTTTCCCCGACACTGATGTCAAACGTTCAACGCCCAGTCTCACACACAGCCAGCCTCGCTCGCTCGCACGCTCACGCTCTCTCCAGCTTGCTCCACCTATATACAGGTGTGTGGTCCTAAGTACACAGGAACTGATGACAAGTACACATGCATCTGTATTGATGACATATCCTGGCAGAAATCACCTAATACCATCACCGGTTCCTGGAACATGATAAGAACTTTCGTCATTATGCTCCAACTTCAGATCTCAACAAATAGGTCGTTTCCTAATTGAAACCACTTACGATTTCAGAGTATGATTATTATTTCAAAGTAAACTTGGTGTTGGTTGAAATAAGGTTCCAGGTTTTTAATATTACCCGCCCACCATGAGCATGGCTGTTGTGTAATATTCCATTAGGAACAGGAGATGGTACATGAAGAGGCAATGGTTGCCATACTGTCAGTGAACTTGAACAGATAACAGCATAACCTTGCAATTATAAGAGGAAAATTTCCTTGCCTATACATAAAGTACACAGAAAGAAGTCCTAGTTAACAAAGACTGACATTAATGAATTAAGTATTGCCACTTTTCAGCAATTAAGTCCATGTCCCAGCTGGGGTCAACGGTACAACAATGTAACAGCTGATTAACATGTATCCCCCCCCTCAGGCAAGACTGTTCTTAGTTTTCAGTTTACTGATGCACTTACAAACCAAACTAATTTTTTTTAATGAAAATACATGATCAAATGTACCCTTCTGACAGAAATAAAAAAAACTCAAGTGAAACCCTCCTTCAGTTTAAACAGAATGTTTCACTTTGACTAAACCACGAAATATTATGCCAAAATAAAAAAATTAAAAATCGAATATTCTTATGTCAACCTGTACAAGCAAAAAATCCATTAACCATAAACTAAAAAAAGTGTGGTCTTACGTGAAACAGTACAAAGCGGCTACAGTCAAACTGTTTTAACAATGACTCACTCTATGGCATAATTAGGAGTACATTAAGGGTGGTAACGATATGGTGAAACAGTCGGTAGTTGATATGCATCGTATTGCATACCAACCATATTGTCTTGGGAATTAGATGACATAATTTGTACTGCATACCCACTATATCATGTATATTAATACATACCGTATTGCATACCTACTATATTAATGGGAATACATATATTACATACTCACTATATTATTGGGAATACATTTATTGCATACCCACAATACATAATAGGAATACATACCGTATCGCATACCTAAAATATTAATGGGGAATACATGCCGTATTGCATACCTACCATATCGATGGGAATACATATCGTATTACATACTCACTTTATTATTGTGAATACATAGATTGCATACCTACTATGTTAGTTGGTATACATATCATATTGTGCTACCTGCAGCCACCATATCGCTACGTCCCTAACAGACCAACATATTGCCTGCCTGGCTGCCTGTGTAGATGTAACTGGTCAACAATAACAGTCAGTGATTCATATGACTTGCTGTAGGCTGGAGCTACCAATAAGTTCATCCCTGAATGATTACATGACATACACTACTCAAAAGAAGTTAAGGATCACCTGATTCTTTCATATTACAATAGTTAATCTCTCATGCCATGACAGATTAACATTACCAATATGAAAGAATCGGGTGATCCTTAACTTCTTTTGAGTAGTATATTACAAAAGTGAACAGTGTGCCACCAGTCCTATGCACGACGAGCTGATTGTTCCAAGATGAGGACATGCATACACCGATTATGGATTTCAAACTTTCTTCCGAAAATAATTATAATGTTGTTCAAACATGACCTCGTATTAGCAAATATTTAATTATTTACTGTTGCCGTGTCAAATTAAACCTTTCTTCCTTGAAACAATTACTCATTGTGTACTACACAAAACAAGTTAAAGAATACTCACAATGGAAGGCTGTGAGTTGCAATAATCACTAGCCATGACTAAGTATAGTCATATGGAAGCATTGAGAGTTCTTTAACTTCTTTTGATTTGTATATTTGAATAAAACATCAATGACACACTGAATGTCAAGCATTGTACTGGTGATACATTATGGTTATGTATAGTCAGACTACAGCCTGATGTTCCAGTGAGAGTCAACAAGTGATGTCTGGCTGGTATTACTGTAGAACAGATCAACAAATATCTTGAAAACAAGTTGAGCTAAATTTAAATATGTTAAATTCAACAGTAACAGCTGGCGTGTATACTGATAATGAACTGACCTGACTGATGCACAATTACTTATCACCCTTTGAGAAACAATTTCCTCGCATTTCAAAATGCACCTTTGTTTGTTGATTAAACCCTGCACTCGGCAATATTCCAGCCATATGACAGCGGTCGGTAAATAATCGAGTCTGGACCAGACAATCCAGTGATTGACATCATGAGCATCGATCCACGCAATTGGGATACGATGTGAGTTTCTAATGCTGCCTGCTGTGCAGCATAACATGACAGGATTGACACATCCAACGATGTTACCAGGTCCAGACATAGAATTGCTGTGTGACGGAATGTAGTCAGGTAGTGGGTGAGGACCAGATATAGCAGAATTCAAACCCGGATCTTCACGGGTCGCCTTGACACTTGCATGAGCTGGGATGTATATATGCTTTCTGACTTGTACATATCATATGTGTGTGTGTGATGTAATGATGTATATATGTTCTCTGCACGTGGCACTGTGTCTATTGTTTTAGAATAAAGTTCTGTTCTGTTCTGATATATAGCTTGCGTTATACTGTAGGGCCGCCGTTAATTTCTTACTCACATCATGTACACTATAAACAAGCAAACACACTGAATGAACAAGCAGCCAAGACGGCTTTTATCTTCCATGTATGTGAGGGGAATGGGCTTCTTTTCTACCAATGAACAAAGGGAGACCACCCATGTCAGACTATTTCTTTGAGTGTATCAGTGGCGATGCTTGCTTGGGATTTCCCAGGCGACTTGCTCAGCCCGTCGTTCCGCGGCAATAAAGTGCGGACGTCCCGCCAACCTAAACACACATCGCGCCTTACACACCAGCAAACAGTCCCCAGTTAAGTCGAACGGTCTTTACCAGCAAACATTTTCATAATTAAGCCAGAGAATGCTCAGGGACAAAACAAACTGAACCTGCCCTTCTTATTATCAACGACGGTAACCACGGCAACGGCCACCACAACTTTATCTGCTTCCCCTTTTAAAGTCTTTGGCTCCCATAGACATGCAGCCGTAGAGGTGTAGCTATGCCGGAAATGGACGATGACGCCTCGTTCTGACTTCGTCTCGGTAACGTAGTTACCGTTGTCGTGGCCAACGTCCCTTCTGTTTTGAACAGATTCACTATCGCTCTTGCTCCCTATCGCTCTGCATTTCGTTGACTACAGCATCGTTTCAAGATCTTCTACTGACAAGATGTTTACAAGGCTGCATATTCAAGGTATTTAAGAATGCAATGATTGTATTTTAAAGTGTTTAGAACGTAGATAAGTACTGAAATTGGCCGTAGTTTGACAGCAGTACCGATGGTGATGACACTGGCCGCCATTTGCAATTGATTTGATTCAGAAATGGGTGTCTTCTAAATCTCTTGTCTGCTCTGAAATGAGAGCGGTCCGGATAAAGATATATGACGGACGATGTTATTCAAACATTATAGATCAAATGTGTGACATTGTATAACTTTGATATCTATTTAAACATAAACTACTCTTTCAAACGAACGGGCTTGGAATGACATGACTAAAACACATAAACACAATGATGAAATGCTCATAGTGTCGATAGTACTCTCTACTCCTAATCCACCTGTCTGTCCATCAGTCCGTCCGTCCGATCGTCCGTCCGTCCGTCAATCCATTCAGGTTCTGAAGAGTAAATAAGAGCTGTACAAGTTTTTGTAGAGATGTGTTGCAAAATATCTAGATCTTTATTTGTTGACTAGAGTCTGGGCGATGTCTTCTTTCAAAGTTGTACAGTGTAACCTCGTTAACTCGAACTCCTTAACTCGATATATTCATTGAACATGTATTTTAATGTATTATTAAATTTGTTTATTTTTCTTTTCAGCACGGGAAGACATGATCCGGTATCATGTCACTCCTGCTGCGAGTTTATGGCCGTCGCTGGATGAGGAATCCGACTGTGTATGTAGTTTATCTACATCTGTTTCGGATTTGGCCGCCGAATAGATCACTTAAGTGCTTTTGTCGATGTCCCCCACGCACACTATTGACATTGCAGATTTTCTCTGTGTGTTATTGTGTCCTGAAAAATAACTGCATGATCCCCCTCCTCCAATTGCATGATTCAAACAGTCGATCAGAATTTCTGTCTTGTTGTAGCGCCTTATTGCATGTGTAATCTGTGTATCACACTGACTTTCTTTTCCACATTGTTATTTGAAAACCTCCTATATACCTCGCCCACTGACCCTCCTTTCTCCCTCCCTCCCACTCACTGATGTAGCGTCCCCAGGCTGCGTCCCCGACCCCCTCTCCCAACCCTCTGAGTGTTTTCACCCCCTTCTGGGCCCGCCCTGACCACGGTGAGACGCTCCCCGCCCCAGTCACCATCACCTACGTCGACCACTATCCTGCCCCTAGTGATGACGACAGTGACTACTGGGTCTACGAGGACGAGGATGACGACAGCTTCGTGGAGGACCGAGAGGTTCATCCTCTGAGGAAGGCGCTGAGGAGAGTGGCTGCCTTCTGGAGGAGAATCTTCTCGTAGATTTCCCATCCAGTGTGTGTGTGTGTATGAGTACAAG